ATGCTGTTTATGTTTCATCATCATATGTTTAAGGAAATAAGTTGCTTAAAGATATTTTACAATTTAGCGAAAATTTCCTCAACATTACTATTTTAGACTAAAACAGAATTTCTATTTCTGGACTAATTTAAAATCAAAGCGAATAAACATATCTTTAAATTCAGAGCTTTTTGCGGCTTTTAAGGACAACTAAAATTACCTCTCTTGAGGCAAAATTTTAAATAAATAGCAACTGCTGCCGTTTTCGACATAAAATAGACACTGAACCTGGGAAAATAAATTTCACTTATCGTTTGGTTTTTTTGGAACTCCTCCGTTCGCTCGGTAACGAAATCTTCCCGCGAAGGATAGAGGTTTTCTTGCCGCACTCCGTTTCACCGTCTTGTTGAACTTTCCGTTTTCTCTTCTGGGCTCCTTACTGGAATATTCCAACATTTCACTGTCCTTAAAGATTCTCTAGCTCCGCTGGATTGCTGATTTTAACTTGAAATTTCCGCTGGACCTTTCAGCTGCAACTTAGGCGACCGGATCTCTGGAACATTCGTCTCCTCTGCGGTGTTGGAGTTTTCTCCAATGGGCGCTTCTTCCATAGGACTTTCGGTGTGGCCCTGTCGTTGTAGTTGGGAACAAGCGCTTCACTTCCTTTCCGCACTTTGAGTGTGCATTGGTTGTCCTTAGGCTGTTCGCATGAACTCTTGGATCCTTGTACTTTCGGTTGCTTTCTCGACGTCTTGTTCCTTCTAGTATCTGGTCCAAATCTTAACATTTTTGTATTTTCTTCTGTACCAGCGGCCGAGCGGTAAAGAGGCTGAACACTACTAGTTCAGTCCGAGGTTCGAATCACGCGAACGGGCTGGCTGCATGGGCGTTTTTATGGTTTTCCCCATGTGAAACGTGTATACGAGCCAGTTTCCCTTAGAAAGTCCTCCACGAAGGCATCCCTCCCTTTAGGCAGATAGCCCTCGTGTGCTTTGCCATAATTGAATAATCCAATCTGTACTTGTGGTTCCCCTTCTCTTTTTTCCGGGAACATATATTTCCGATGGCAGTGGAACTTTGCCATTTATAGTCGCTGGTTGTGTCTTCTAATGTTGCGCTTCCTGTAAAACATTTTTAAACTTTTGAATATTACTTTGATCAAAATAAATCTTGCTAAAGTCTAGTCAGTGTCTAGCAATGCACCTGCAGATACATTATTTTTTAGCAATACATGTTGTACTAAAAAACACCAAATATTTTAACAAATACAGTATTTAATTGAATTTTAGCGGGATTTTCTTACCTTCTGGTTAACTGCACCCTCTTATCTTCAGTATCCCAGTTTAGTTTAATTTTGTCTTATTATTTTCCCTCTGTTTTCTCTTTTGCGCTTCATTTTGCTGGCCGCCACTCGCGGTTGAATCTTTTTGCCTACTTCCGAAATACTTCTTCTGGCCAAACTGTGGCCTTCGCTGTGATGCAAGCCTAAAATTTTGCTCATTTGGCCTGCCGCCATGTCCTGCCATACGTGTCTTTTCCACCGCACACCAGCTACGAATTTCACGGGAGCTCAAATATCTCAAGTATTGCTCAATTTCTTAATTCAAAGAAATCTTGTATTTAAGGCAGCAACATTGGTTCGCATTATTTCATCGTCAGGTCTTTTGCAGAATAACAAATTAAAAATTTGGATTTTCTGCAAAACAAAATCAGTCAGTTCTTTAACTTTAAACTGATACATGTTAAAATATTCTGCCTCCAGCTTAGTCCTTTCTTTTGCAATCGGAAACGTATTTCTAAATATTTCAGATTTATAGGTGTCGCTCGCTGGCTCACCGAGCACAAATTTTCCAATGCATTTATACCAGCTAGAAGATTGTCCTCTTAAAGCAGCAGTTGTTACTGTAACTTTCTGCAGTTCTGTAACTGGATACAGTACGGAATGCGAATTTAACTATTGAAGGAAATTATCCACTGAGGCTCTCACATCGAAAGTCACTTAGCGAGTTAATCACACAGAAACGTAAGAATGGTGTAAAATACCGTTTTATTCAGACCTCAAATAATTGAACAGAGGAAATTCTCAGGCTTGCAAACCCAGCCAACATTTATGGCGTAACTCAAAAAGTAAGGAATTCAAATTTAAACTAAATCTAAATCTTAAATTAGCCAAATTCTGCACAGAAATAATTAGCGCTCAAGTTGGTTCAAACCTATACCAGCGCCACAAACCGGTTTGGCAAGAATAAACTAACACCGAAATCAGACTGCTAACGTAGAATATATACTAACGTAGCCGTCAGCAAGGGGAATGGGATCTATCTAAGGCATCTAAAAACCTTCGTTTAAATACTCTCTCTTTCTACCTGATGCAAACATATCCGAGCTAAAATTAGTCCTCTGGCAGGAAAACGGAAAGGAGAAATGATAGTAAAGTAACCATAAAATAACTGGTTAGATAAAATAAATAAATACTTTACAACCTCTTAAGTGTTCTTTGAATTGTGATCATCTGTCTAAATAGGACAATTTTGACCCGGTTAACTCCCTTTGACATCAAAGTTAGAAAGCGCTAAAAGATCGCGGAATGAATCTGCAGTCTGACATCATCGTATAAACATTTGGTAATAAGCGAATAGAGTTTTGTATTTGGTCTTTTGTATTGTTACAGATTGCATTTCAAAATATCCAGTTCTGTGTCAGGTCAAAATTAGGGAAGTTTGATGCCACTCTACATGTATAATAATGTCGAATTAAAAAAGTAGAGAAGATTAAGTTATTTAACTAAGCGGTACGAATATCCGGATTCTTCCAAGCTTTGTTTCTAAAATGCATCATAATTGAAAGTTACTAAACAAAAACTAGAGGCGAACAAAAAATGTTTTAAATAGTAAAAGGTAGAAAGACAAAAATGGTAAACAAGTAGTATCAACACAAAGGTTAATCTTTTTTATTTAGAGCTTCAAAATGGAATTTGTCAAGAGAAACGTGTCCTGAAGCTTCGAACAATGTTGATTAACTAGACCAGTTAAAACAAGTTTCGTTCCGGCTAATTCACTGAGACTTAGAACGGAATAACGTAATTAAATCGTCAAAAGTAATTTGAAGACTGATGGGAGAAACCTTCAAAAATGGGCGTCCATCAGTCAACTCGCTAATACCTACCGTTCTCCAACACTCACTTTTCCAACCGGTAATGTTTTCCTGCCTATATATAACGTACTTTTTTTTTTCGATGAATTTTCTTTAGTAGTAGGTGTGTGTTTGGACGTTTGCTGCAGAATCCCAGGCGTGCAAGTGCAAGTCCGTATTATCAGATAAAAGTATGGTGTTGGTGATCATTTGCTGTTGCTACTATCTAAAGGTACATTTGTGCTGTCTAATTTTGCAAGTCTTTTCCCTTTTCATTCATCAGATACTAAATTGTTTTACATCGCTGCCTGCTAGACGTTGAACTGAATATTGTTGTACCACTTTGCGGAAACATCACTGGGCTTGAACATGCAGCTTTCAAGTTAAACGCAATTTAGGAAGCTGAAGTATCTTGTTCTGACAGCATATTCATACTGTTTTGGAAGAGTTAAAATCCTTAAGAATGCTTTTTAGGAAAATTTCATCGTTTACCTGTGTACTCTAGATTAGATACTCCGACCGCAAGAACCAAATACTCGGTTTCTCGATACATAAAGTTCTTACGTGCATGCCAAGCTTAATATCCTTTTCAGATCACACGGAATCGGTGATATGTGATGACTTATCACGGATTTCATATGACGCATTGATGAAAACCATCAAATAATATAGTTTCTTATTGCTTCAATCTCTAACTGAATTACACACTGGTTTTAGGGGTTTCTTCTTGTGAATTGCGTCTATTGAACTGTATGAAGGTGAAACGTTGTATGAATCATAAAATTAGCAAAGCAACAACCTTGTGTTTGGTTTAGATTTTAGTCAAGACTCTATCAATTTCTAGGCAAATTAGGTACAGGTCCCTCTGCATCAGAAGCAAAGAAATCAACTTCTGAAAATGAGGGAATCCCTCAACCACTTGGAATGGCGAAGCATAAACCAAATGCGCGCAAACGATCCATACTGGAAGAACTTTATTGAAATTCGGTTGGTAGCAAAAATCAAGACAATAGAAACACGCCAAAGTAATCTTTGCTTCTGATGAAGAGAGACCTGCACCTGATTGTCTCGATATCAATGATATCTTAACAAAAATCTACGCCAAACACGGTAAAGTTTGTTCCTTTGCTAATTTTATGTTTTACTTTGACGTGTTTCTCTTTTGTGTTGAATACGTGACATTTTGCTATTCAATCACGCAGATACCAGATCGTGAATTCAATAGGAATTTGTCTTGTAGGCAGGCAGTGGAGGACATCAAGCTCCAAAGTTTTATCCATGTGTTCGAATGATATCCGATAAACTGTGCTGAAGATTCTAGTAAAACCCTTCTCTAATTTTTAATCATAGGAGGTCCCCGCTTCTCTACCCTGAATCTTGCGATATTCGCAAGTTGTAGCATAGTGAAATTACAGTATACAATACAACTATTCAAGGATTAAGTTATCTGATCAGCGGCAATCGTAAGAGTTAGGAAGATTATCAAGGATATTTTGCTTTTCCTTGTGGAAAATCATAATTGAGAATATATGTGAATATAGCAGAGTTTAGCAAACTTTTAATAGGCAGTTATTTTAATTATTAGAATTCTGCAATGTTTGAATAAAATTAAATATACAACACTGTCATATCCCAAAAATGAATATTCCGTTCATCCGATTATAGAACACAATGCTAAATCATCGCCAGGTTTTGCACTGACTTTTCTTCGCCGTATTAACTGCTTACCGTTTTACGATAACATGGTTATGCACGGTGTTTTGTATTAAATTAACTGTTTACGTATTGAGATTTAATAACTTATTTTGTAAAGTCATTAAATTTTCTAATTTTTAAAATATGTAATCGAATTTAGAATTTAATTTTCTTTTTTCTTTTTTTAATGTTAGGATTCAAGACATCCTCAAAAACCAGTGTAAAATCATCTTCCAAATGAATAGTCCAGAATTTCAGTGGTGCTTAATGCTGCTTAGGATATTAAGAATTCATTTGCAAGTGGTGAGTTGCTTACAAAATCAAATATTATTAATTATAATTTTATAATCTATCAAGAACAGTACTTATGTAATTTTATAATCAATATTTATTTATTTTGTTGGTGTTTTTGTTTCACCTTAGGAGAAATATATGTTCAGTAATTCATTTCAAAAGCCATGAGTATTCATTCGTCCAAAGGGTAATTCATTCAACCGCTATCATTAAGATTTCTTCGTAAAATTTCAGCAAGATAAATTGACATGTGCACTTTTATAGAGTTAGTTTTTATTAGGTTTTGCGAAGCAGAAGAATTCGAATAGCTAATGTTCCAATTAGTGGCTGTGCTAATAACTTATATCACTAGAACTGCATTGGACAATGAAAATTTTTCCTTATTTCCTCCCCACTTAAATGGCGAATCAGAAGAGATACGACTCAGCTGATCAAAATTTATATAATGACGAATTATCCTCCACCACATCTCTGTTCGGACGTCACTGTAGACTTAGAAGGTTTTTTAAGAGCCAGAAAGCGCGAGAAATCAACTGTTCTTGAAACAATAAAGTTAAGAATCGTATTTATGTAACTTTATAAACAATATTTATTTATTTTGTTGGTGTTTTGGTTTTATCTAAGCAGAAAGATATATTCAATAATTCATTTCAAAAGCCTACAATGACTATTCATTCATCCAGTGGGTAATTTATTTAGCCTCTATCATTAGGGTTTCTTCGTAAGATTTCAGCAAAATAAATTGACATATGTACATTTGTAGAGTTTTATTCTACAAAGGACATCTTCCAACTGTTAGCTTATTAACTGCGAAATTTTATTCTCTCGATTTACATTTAATGCTGGGTGTCTAGATTGAAATAGAGACTGGAAATTGGAATATAGATGGAATCTGCCGTGAGCCCCAAATGGAGATCGACATTCAAGTAGCCCTCACCGGAAAAAAAATTCACATTGGCAATAAATAGTTAGTAAATATAATATAAAACCATTAGAGAAAACGGCAGTACACAGGAGTTGTAAATTATGTACATAATAATATTATATATCGCGTTTTGAAAATGTTTAAATCTTGAAACTCAGTAAAATTTTACTTCTTCTCACAAATAATACTCTCCAGCTCACTCATTTAACAACTACTACTCAACAACTCAATCAAAAGCTTGAGAAAGGTTTAAACAACAATGTGAAAAAGTAACCACTGTTGCCACGTAATTTAAGTTATCAAATTTCCGCTACTAAGACAAATCCTCAAACGGAGATCATGGCAGTTAATAGGTTAAAGTATAAGCCACTTCCCCCACGAGACTTCGCATGGAGGAATGCGAAAATTCGTCTTATCATTATTATTACTGAAAGTCAAATATTATACACTAAGGAAACACATATTCCTTTGTAAAAAGAATGCACATTCAATTTTCAAAAAAGGCACTAGTTCAATACTTTTTCAGAAACTGCATAAATAACCTTCGGGAAAATAAAATGCCTTAACTGCAGATGATAGATAAAACTCTCGTTTATAAAGAATTATGGATTTTTTGTGATTTAATGTAAGTAATAAAGCTAATCCAATTTTCCAATGCCAAGAATCGTAGTGGTAGTTTTTCTTATTTAAATGGAATTCCACTTCTTCACAAAAACATATTTCTCCTTGCATAGCATTTATTTTATGAATAATTCAGAAGTGATTTGTATAAAAACTCAAAGGAGCATTGATGGACTCGCAATGGCCATCAACACTCTTCGCGTCAAGTCATTTCATAAGGATATGGATCTCAACGGATATTTATTATCACTATAAAATCTGCGAATCGGATTTCCACCTTCTCTTTTTTTCTGTTATGGACAATTGTTATCAGAAATTTTAGGCAAAAATCTCATGAATGAAAACAGATATTTTATTAGATTTTTTGCAGTTTCGCAAGTTATTTTATGAATTCCTGTTAAAATAGTTTTGCAAGTGTTTGTATTTAATTACGTGACTACTCTACTCTGTTTTTACTTCTTACAATAACCCTTTAATATGCATTTATTAGGTAAATAGTACGTCTTATTCAATGCCTAAATTTATGAACACGAATAAACAAATAAAAAAAAATAATTATAATACTATGAATACGAATAACAAATAAAATATAATGAAAACAATAATAAATAAACAAAAGAGTCAAACATTTATTGGTTCATAAAAACTGAGAATCTACGAGCCGATCTCTAATCTACGGTGTCTCTAAAATATACACCATACAGGGTAGTTGAATGTTAACGAATGTTAGCTTTGGATATTAACGACAAAAATAAAATATATTGAAACATAGACGAGAATAATTAACAAAGCACAGAAAAATTTCCTTTTCTTGAATTTCTTGAATTTTCTTGAAGTGTATTTATTGAATGTACTGTATTGAATATGATACAAGTATGGTAAGCCTAAATTATATTTAGACAATATTTTAGCTTCGCATTTTTTACAAACTTATATTTTGAAATATATATTAAATTTGGCATTTACTAAACGATCGTACTTTAGTTTTCACTAGAATGTATTACTTTTCTCAGGCCTCTTAATTCACAAGTAATTTTACAAATATGTCGAAATGCTAGACATCTATATCTGACGAAACGTTAGAAATAATTTTCTGGTGAAATATATGTATACGCTTCAGAATTTCTGTTAGATTGCTGGTATTAATTTCAGTTTCAGTATTTTAGATTTCACCCTACTTCTTCATTTCCAATTCACAGTGATATTGCTGGAGATCTGAGCTCCCAATTTTGTATGCAAAATTTTTCTGCATGGAAATTGAGCATTTCTTTTTCTAATATCTGAAGACTGGCGACTTAAATATTAGCATAAATAAATATTTAAACGACCTTCTGGGTATAGTTAAAAATTTGGGCGGAATTAAAGTGTTTGATTTTCGAGTCTATATTTTTTTTTTACTATTTAGATAGAATATTTTAACTACGATTATGGTTAACTTTAGTTTCCATATTTTGATTTCTTTGCATGTTATTATCTCACTTTGATTATAATTTATAAGATTTATTTTTCTATTTCTACATCTGTAAGTTAGCGTTTTAAGTCCCTTCTCCCCCCCCCAAGAGAGAATAATTAGAGAGGAAATATTTCGTCAACAGAAAAAGTAATGCATGGTTCTATAAAAATAAAATGTTCAAAATTGCTTTATGAAAAGCAGCTGGGGGAAAAATATGCCTTTATAAGAAAAAAATAATTTAATCGGATATCCAGAGAGAATATATAACATCCTATGCATAATGCGATTTTCCCTTACTTAATGTTTTTGTTTTCTTTTCTTTTACAAATTTTCTTACACATTTATTAAAATTGCGTGTTTGGAGATAAGAATAATTTAAATGTATATATACATAGATGTATATGTGTGTGTGATACATATGTAATAAATAATTTTGAAGATGATCGATCGAAGATGTTGAATAAATATTTTTATGGGGATGACGTAAAACATGATGACGGAGCTTGAAGTGGTTGCAAATAATTTGCACCAACGCAATAATTACTAGTAATAGATAAATCCAGTTTTAGTAAACTTCCTTCCGAATACTTTCCAGAGTTATTAGGCTTGTCGAAGCAGTAAACGTTAGAGTTATGTAATGCCCTTGTCTAGATTCGAATTTCGGACCTTTCGATTGCTATCCGGACGTGCTTCCTATTACACTAAGAAACCTTACGACATTACCTTTAAGAAATTCATATAAATAAATTACGTACCGTATATGACCCGCTTTTCTTACCTTTTGAGTCATTCACTCGAAGATTTTTCCCAGGCTTTTTAACAATGGTATCCTGAAATGACAAGCGATAAGGAAAACAATAGTGTATGGGGGGAAATGTTTGAAGAAGTAAATAATTCTGCAAAGAGGCTGCATTGTACTCAATGCAGTTATGCAGCAGAATGTTATTCTAGGGTTAGGAGAAGAGGGGAACACAATTTTGGGGTAAGAAGGCACTTCCGACCAGAGAGAATTCGCCGGATTAAGGAGTCGGATGTTTTCTCTGCCATGATTTCGAAGTGAACATTGACGGCTTTAGTAAATTGCATTTGCTTTAGTTCAAATACAGCTGGTCTAGCGTTATTTTAGCAGTAAATATAGCTTCCGCGAAACGAAACAAACACAGTTTTGGTTTCAACCGCAAAGTGATTCAGTTTGCGAAAGAAACTCGAAATCGTGTTGCAGCAAGGATATTTGATGTTTGTAAAAGTTCCATATGTGTGTGAAAGAAAAATGAAATCGCAGACATCAATATGGCAAAGAATAAATGCACTTCGCGTAAAGGAGTAACGAAGTGGCCTATCCTAGTAAAAGGTGTTGCGAACTGGGTCCTAGACTATAGCCAGAATGGATTAATTGTTACGAGAAACAGTCTACGTTTATTTGCCTTAAAATGGGCAAAAAAAGAATGCAACATTAAAGTTACATTTAAGTTGGTGTAGTCAATTTACTACTTGGAGCAGTGTAGTTCTACGAGAAAAAACAAACTGTTTCGCAACAGCTTCCAAAAGATTTTTCAACGAATTGGTAAGTTTTCAAAAGTGTGCTATTGACCTACGAAGGAAAAAAAATTATTTACTGTCACATATTGAAAATATGGATGAAACTCCAGCAATGTCTCTAGAATGGGAAATAAACAAGTGATGCGAAAGAAACAAAAGCGGTTCAATAAAAACAACAAAAAAATCCCCCCCCCTCATCTTAATGCTTAGCGGACGATAAAAAAATTAAAACCCATGGTTATTTTTAAAAGAAAGACTATGCCAAAATGTTATTTCTGAAATGGTGTTCATTCATTCATTCGTGTTCATGAGAAAGGATGGATGAACGGAAACCGTGTGAAATTGTGGATACGATATATTCGGCTAACGGTTCCTGTTGTCTTAAAGAATCCAGTCTTAAAGAAAAAAATTGAAGAAACTTAAAGAAAATTTAAAACGACAGTGTAATGCGTAGATGTTAGAAGTGTGAAA